AAATAAAAGTTTTATTATTTCTATATTTATCTTATTACTGAATTCATAAGAACTGTAAGTTATAATGATATTACAGTGTTATTTATTTATTATTTTTGATAATTGACAAATATAGATTTGCCTTGATGAGTAGACCTTATATACAGATGTCAAAGACTCTGATTGATATAAAACACAGTTTGCTTTTAGAAACAAGAATAATAGAACAATTTGTGAGGCATTTTACTTTTGTTTCGCTTATTGTCACTGTACGCCTATTTTGCAAAATTTACATTGAAAGAAACTGAGATTTTAAAACTGTTGTTGAAAACAACAACTGCAGAAAATACATCTTAAAACACTTTTATGTTTTAAACTGTAAAATTGTCAAGAATACCCAACACCCTTTTAGGTATAAACTTAATTTCAACATTTGAATATCATCTTTATGCTCTGTTTTTATTTGGATTTACCACAACTGTCCCCCTTCCTGTCAGCCATGATAAAACCTCACGTGTTAGCTAAATAAGCTGATCTTGATACATGTTAACTATATTAGTTAAAAGTCAACATATCACTTGTTTAAAGCAAATAAGTTTGAGCTGGGTCACAAAAACAGTGACAACAGTATAACAAAAATAAATCTGAGCAAAAAAATACTTTGGTACCTCAAAAACTGTTTTTTTTTTTTTTTTTTCAAATAAATCCTGGACCAGTTTTTGAATCTGCTTACTTTTTTTTCTTTGCAAGGTGGGACATCTAACTGAGCATGTACAGTGTGAGTGTCATCATTCTAGCTTTTTTCTGTTTGGAGAAAAATGATGTGCTGCAACCGTCCCTTGTTGTTACTGTCCCCAGTCTCAAATTTGTGCAGAGATTCATGCTATATTTTGCTAACAGTCACAGTTGAATCTAACATGTGGCAGCATTTTAAACAAAGTGGGATATGTGTTAGGGATCAGTCTCAGCCAATTTTACATAGAATTTTAGCACAAGATCTGTCAAACAGACGGGGTTAGCCTTACTGTTATTTAAAGTCAGTTGGCTGTGGTAGCCGTCTTGAATTTGGAGATGTTATGCTCTGGTGCTTTGCAGCAAAAAGGGCCTGGGTTCAACTCCTGACTGAGGCTTTTTCTGAAATGAGTTTGCATGTTTCTCACATAGTCCAAAAACCTAGGTTATTTGGCAACTCTCGATCTGATTTAGTGATGAACTGGTGACCCGTCGAAGGGTGTAGGTCCAGCTCCCTGCGACCCTGCTCAGAAACGAGAGGTTACAGAAAGTAAAAAGAATGRCTGAAAAATT